CTTGACGAAGATTGACAACAATGTCAGTTTGGTGTGCCGTGATGTGGCCCCATTGTATAGTGAAATTAGCGTCTTCATGACATCATTTTCAGGTCTGTCATCAATTGTTGAAGAAGATACCGTTATTAGCCCGAGAAGTTCTTCAGACTGTCCGGGCGCTATACATTCAAGAGTTGTTGTGACAACTTTATTGGCCTTTCGTTTAATATAAGAACGAGTGCTTCTGGCAACTTCTGTTGTGGCTTGGTTTAGTTGAAATCGCACCGGGCTCACTCGCCCGTCACTCAAACTGGTAATGTGTCGATTCAGGGTTTGAAGTTTACGGTTTGGAAGGGGAGTAGGCATGTATTCTTGATCAGATTGGTCAGCTTGATCATTCAAAGATAAATACTCTGTTTGACTGACTAAATGAGACACTGGTGACGTCAAATCATCATGCTTGTTTTCTAACTTAAAGTATACCCCTGGTTGCGCCTATAAATAGATACATATATGGATAGAACTTTAGCTGCGTTTACACCATACCGGACCATAAAAACACATGCAGACATACGAACCTCTGTTCGCTTTGTTCTTGTGATGGCCGCCACTTCGTCATCACTGTCGGCTAGGGCTAGGGGAGGTATAATACCTTTCTCTTCGTTCAAGCTACAGGCTGAGTCTTGCAACTGGCGGGATAAAATGTAAACAAGACAAAAATTAAATGGACTAACAACCCTTCTAGATCTGGCACATCTGCATCTGACTGAATGACTGACTGACTGACTGACTGACCGACTGACCGACTGACCGACTGACCGACCGACCGACCGACTGACCGACTGACCGATTGACTTACTTAAACATGGGATAATTAAAATCATACCTGCGATACTGAGCCCTCTAGAGTTCTTCTGTGAATTCCTAAACATTTCATGCAAATCCCTGCGTGAAACAATGGTAAACAACGTTCTGAATTAGCTTTTTCATAAATCTAATTAGCAAAACTGAAGAATAAAGTAAATAAAGCAGTACCTTGACCGATTTCGCACAAAATCCCTCAACTTTCAAATATTTCTGATGACAGTCGCTTTGTTACTCCTATAACCGGTTTTTGTTTGCTGTCGTGAGCTGGATGTTTGCATGATTTGCTTGGACGCCATCCCAGCCCAAACTGATCTCTGTGGAGTGGGCATATTGTGAAAGTGTCCACATCCTCTTCATTGAATAATCCCGCTCTGAGAAGACACAACTTCCATTCCACGTTCACATCAT